CCCACATTCTGTGGATATCCACAAGTGCACTGGTCTTAACTTCCTTATCTTCTGCATGGCTAACTGTACACCTGCTTCTGTCTCCAAGTCTGCCCCGTTCCACTCTGCTAAACGAATTGCTGCCCCCTTCCCAAAACGACGTTCGACTTCACTGCTCAAACGACTATCAGAAAAACATGCCAGCTCAACAAGTAAAGGCCTCTTGGTCCAAACAAGTGCTTGCCATGTCCTACTGAATGGGTTCTTTTGTATGTGCCAAGTTCGAGCGATTTGAAGTGCCGTTTCTTCTGGAAGTGGCTGGAGAAAAATCTCTCCTTCACTCAGGTCTCCTTCCGGTTCTTGTGGCGGCCCGACGGGTAACTCAGCTCTGCTTTCTCCACCTCCAATGCAATCTCCTTGCCTTGCACTGCTTTCATCTTCTCGGCCAGTTCCTGTTTCATCATTTCGATCTGTGCCAACTCCTTCTGGACATCTTGCTCTTTGTATCCCTTGCTGGAGGGCGGAGTGCTGATGTCTATCGGGTCGACCATGGAGCAACTGCCCACGGAACTGCTGCCCTTGGTGTTGCCGGCCTGAGTCTTTGAGCTGCGATTCACTGCCTGAGAACTGCGCTGTTGACTTGACCATTGCGCCAACCGCTTGAGCCTCCAATGCGGAGAATCGGACTCTCGGGCTGTCGTGATCACCCACTGGATGTATGAGGGATGTTGTTCCATCACCTGTGCATAGGTCATGTCCCCATGCTTCCCGAACCCCACCAGCTCGTTGCTCTCCGGCTCGAACTGACTGTGGATCTGTTCCTCGCCTTTGGAGATCAGCTGACTGACAGTCATGTTTGAGCTCACCTTCATGCCCATCTCCTCGAGAAACAAGAGGAGCTCTCCCTTCTTGCGACTGGCTGTCCGGAGTTGTTGGAGCTTGGCCTGAAGGTCTGACTTGATCTTCAGTCCTTGCTCTTCCTCGACCTCGGACCAGCGTGCCTTCATCTGTGCTACCGTCCAGGATGATGGAACCACTTCCCCATGATCGGCCAAGCGCTGGAGCCACTCTGCCTTGGTCTTGGGCACGGGCATGATGCGGTGGTGAATCACGGCTGAAGTGATCGTCCGAGGCTTGAGTGCTGAAAGACTGCTGTTCGTTCGATGACATGTTGTTGCTTTGTGTGGTATGTGGTTGGTTGTGTGGTTTGTGGGTTTGTTGAGCTTTGTCATTTCTCAACCTAGGCGACTCCCCCTCTTCACAAAAATCACATCGCTCCCTACGAAATGCGATCAACTCACAACATGGACATTGCTTAAACTCAATGTCTTCAATCCCCAAAGACTGGTTTTCCAGTCGACAACCCAAAAATTCACTCCCCTGACCTTTTGACGTGTCCATACCGCCAGAGGAGCGGAATCCCTACTCATCATGAAGACCCTTAAATTCAGTCTTCCTTGATGTGCCCCCATTCAAAAGATTGCCTGTCAATGGCATCAAGAGGTGGCCATTTGGTGCCTCCTGCAAGGGAACTACTGTGCATGCATCAACCTGCCTGTACACAACTTCGTTCGTACCAAAGTCGATCACGGCTCCCAACGATCGAAGTGCCTTGCGGGAGATCAACACTGGCTGACCGGGAGCGTCATGGATGTGCACCTCCATGCTGCCTTTCTTCTGACCTGCGTCCATGTTGACCTTGGCAGTCGAAACACACTCCTTAGTCATGCCATTCCCAAATCGGAAGATTGGCTTCCGATCCAGGTTCAACTCCATGCGAGTGTCACCTTTGTCCTCCAGGTTCTTCCTGGCCAGGTGTTCCATGGCTTCCAAGGACCCAAGGGACGCAGTGGCGCCGGAGTCGATGATGCCCATGCACTGCTCAGCCACTGCCTGAACGATCTGAGCCTGCTCAACTGGATCAAGCTCTTGGGATCGTGCGCTATTGGCCAGTTCCATGGCCCCAAATGCGATCTTTGCCGCCTCCTCTGCTATCTTTGCATCTTTGGTCCGTTGTGGACACTGGCTCTGGAAGTGCGGGCCTCCACACTTGAAGCATTGGATGCCCCCTTTGCCCTTGCCGCCACCTTTTCCTCCATCCCGTGGGAACGGGCGTGGAGGATAGTAGTTGCGGCCCAACTTCAACTGCTTCTGATTCCACCTGGCTTCTCGCAAGGTGGTCTTGGCCGTCTGGATGGCGGCTTTCGCCTCTTCAATGCGACTTTGTTCAGCCCAAAAGGCTTCGAGCTGTTCTCCTTCAAGGTCCTCTGCCATGGCTTCCTGTTCCCCCAGGAAGGCTTCGGCATCGTCGTCGGCTTCCTCGGTGGCCCACAATGCAGAGTTCATTTTTGCTTTGTCACGTTTTGCCAAGTCTGCATCAGACCACTGTTCTCTCAAGGCCTTTCCAACTGTGGCGGTGTTGAACTTGCCCTTGATGGAGCCAAGGATGTTGGACTTCTCACTGGGATCTAATCCACTGCGATGTAACAGCAGAAACCCAGCTAGGAATTCCGGAATGAAGATCTCTTCACTCACATCCCATGTTGTTGGGGGCTCATACTCAGCGGAATGCCAAGATTTTGCCGACCAGCCATCACTTGAACCTGCCCAATTCCAGGTCCACACTGTGCCATGCCATTGTGGTTCTTCCCCATCTGGAGTCTCCTCCTGGGTGGTCTCAACCTGCACCTCCTCCGTCTCGCCTCTTGAACCCGTGTTCACGGAATCTTGACCCCAGTCACTCCACACCGGCCGATGTCCCTCCGAGCTGCTGGACTTGGTGGGTTCTCCAAACTCCTTTTGAACCCGACGAAGAGCCGCTGAAGCTTCCCACAATGCCTCAGTGTGCCTGGCGATCCACTCTGTCATGCTCTCACCACGGGACCTATTGAGGTTGTAGAAAAACTTGAGCACATGCCTACTGGCGTCCACCAGGCTGGGCTTCGCCAACTGCTCTTCAAGGAACTCCAACAGCTGGTACACGCCCCTAGGATGGGACAACCATTGTGGATTCTTCAGGGTCTGCGATCTCGTGATCACCTTGGCCACACCTGTCAATGACTGGAGGAGCCGTGGCCCACAGAGGTACCTCTTGTGATATTCTATGGTCATGGCATACTGGATGGCCTTCTCCTTGTAGCTAGGAAGGGTCTCTGGCGTGCCATCATAGCTAGGAACATTCTCTCGACTCATCTTCTATGCACCCTTCGCCAACTGGCTCAGATGCAAACCCAACTTCACCTGGATCAAAACGAGCCTGCACCTCTTCGTCGAACTCAAGGTGCAACCAGGCTCTTCGCTACCATGAAATTGCGATGGCAGCAACGAACCCTATCTTTCACCTGCCTAGGGGCGTCTCGGTCCTAAAGACAACGTGGAGTAGGGTAAAATGCTGTGCGTTTTGCATATATATACTATATATCACATCATTCATAATGACTACATATATACATGCCTATGTCTTTATGTATAGACAAGTATATGAGCAAGCCTTTTGCCTCACCTGTCAGATCCTCCGTTTCGATTGGGGTTTGGCGTGGGTTAGAGAGTCTAACAACATCAAACGTATACCTTGTGAGGACACAGTTGAGTAGTGTGTGTGTGTGTTTTTGGACGATCCAAAGAAGATGAAGCGGGAACTCCTTCAGTGCTGCATAGGCTGCTTTTTTGATACTGGTGGGTTGGCGTAGGCTTGTGTAGGCTGAAGGCGGAGGCGATTGCATAAGTTGTTTGCGTAGGCTTGTTGTGTATAGGTTGTTTTTGGAGTGCATGGTCTTGAGAAGACCTTGTCGCAGCATGGGTAGCTAGTCAGTGGGCCACCTCCCTTGAAACCAGAGGCTTTTTCGAGCAGCGAGACGACTTGCCGTCCTGCGAAGGTGCGCTACAAAGTGGCCGCCGGCACGGTGGAGGTGGCGTTGTCCCTCGCGGGGCGCCAAATGCGCCAGCTGAAGAGGAAGATGTCGGGCATGGGGTGAAAAGAGGCGAGGAGCTGGCAGCTGGCACCCCATCACCAAGCCAACACCTACACTTCAATCGAAAATCCCGGTGTTTACTTACCAAACGATTGTGATGGCACTGTACCTTGAATCTTGCTTAGCAAAAAACAACTTCATAGCATCGGGTGCCCTTCCTGACCTGGCAGGCCCTGTTTCCAAGTTGGTTGTTCAGTGTCTTCAAAGTGATCCTTTGAGGGTCCCGTTGGTTGACCCCTTGAAAGGCTTAAGTGAACCCGGGGATCTCAAAACTGACAGCCATGTGTCACGGCGCATAATTATTATTAGAATGTCGTTCTTTTTGGTGGGGGGTTGTGTGTGCACTGTGCACTTTAGAATCGTTGACGATTAATCCATCGACTAGAATGACTTGCGGAAGGGGGTAGAACTTCTAGCTCAATCACAACCAGCTTTTTTTTCGAGCAAAGCGTGTGGAATTTAACCTCAAACCATGTCGGATCACAACCACTTTGCCAATGTGTCCCGTTCTGTTGCTGGATGCGTTCCTGTGGAGGCATTTGTGGCATATTGTAGTGGCACAAACAAAAGTGCAATAAATTGAATGTGAATGTGCTTGCTTGAGTCACATTGTGGTTGAAAGTGCAAATTAACAGTCTTGTGCAACAAGAACTGCCTGGCAAATCCACATAAAAAGCTTTTAAGGCATGTTCTTGCAATTCTTAATTCTTTGTGTGAAATCTGCTAGACGCAAGTCCAGGCTTCTTCAAGAGGCCCATAACCACAAGGTCTGTCATTTTGCGGCTCAATTCAGGCTTTAGAATTAGCAGATGTGCAGTGGAGAGTGTGGAGTGCGTGGGGTCAGGGTCAAGGTGGTGAGATATTTTGTGAAAAGAATGTGTTCTCTTGATCCGAGCGGACAAGCAACCAAAAAACACTTCAATTGCTTCTATGTGAAACACACTTCTTGAAACCACTGTCACACCCCATGCAGGCACCCGACACGACACATGCCGACCGAAACGCGCTCCTCTCCCAGAAGCGACGACTGGGTCGCCGTTGGGATCTCAGGTATGGCGCCGTCGAGCCGACGGCCGTGCGGCTTCCCATTGAGGCGGAGCGAGGGACCGCGAACGAGGTACGACTGAGGCTGGAGCCCTATATGGGTTTGATGAATTCATTTTTGTGGAGAATATTTAGAGCCCAAAGATTCCACTCACCTACGGTAATGTTGGATCCTCATTGGTCAAATGGGAGGGATTTTTAGATATTGCTCGCCAAAATATTCCAACACCCTGAATAGTTGGATGGGAGGGAATAGTATTTTTGCACAGCGTGTGTGTGTGTGTTCGTTTCCTTTTCTATTGTCCTGCTATTGCTCCCCTTCAAAATCCTTACTTAGCTCTCCTGAGGTTTGCTTGATTCATATGATTCATTGAGTCCTGACCTGGAAATCGTTTTCAAAAACGCTTATTAAAACTCAACGAGTTCATTGCTCCAATTTTTTCAAGGGGGTAGTGCACAAGCCCAGGGAAAGTGAATAGTAGGAATTGCTTAGGGGTTTGGAATAATGATAAGTCTTTTCTCTCTACAAGAAATTCAACGACCGCTGCTGCTACTACTGCTGCTGCTACTTTTGTTGGTGGTAGGGATTCTATTCAGACTCCCTCGATCGTTTGCTCGGTTTGTTTTAGTATTTGAGATGCAACATTCTATCATGACCAATATCGATGCAATTACTACATAACGAATACACATGATATTTGTCATTTCAGTTTCTTGCATACTGCTCTGGTGTTCCGTTCAGGTGCTTACTGCTCTGGTGTTCCGTTCAGGCCTTGGAGGACTCTGGCAGCTTCGACATGGCCACCACCGAGCTCTTTGGACCCTTCCAGGCCCGCGCGCTTGGGGCAGCGGTCTTCGGCTCCAAGCCCCCCAACACGGGCAAGGTAGAGCAATCAGTTGGGGTGATGGACCTGGGGTCCGTGTATATGTAACATGCAGTTCTGTAGATGTATTCTATCAGTCCGAGTGTGCCTAGAACCTGACAGTGGGCCCGCGCGTGGGCTGTTGTTTTTGACCGTCTCCACCCGCTGGGGCGGACCTTTACTTTGCAGGAGTTGCGCCTTAATTGGCGCAGGTCCTTTTCCGTGCACTGGTCACACTTTCAACAAGAGCTGCGCCGTAAATGACCCTGTGAGCCCGCCCGGAGGATGCCTTCATGTTCCCTCATTAGCGCCAGGTATTGCTGTATTGCTACACTTTTAGCGCAGTGATGCGATGTTCACAAATGAAAAGTACAATTGTTATATAATTATATAGCTATTTTGTTTGATCTCTAGAATACAGTAGTCGCTTTTTGTGCAATGCCTGCACCTTCCATCCAGCAGGATGCCATACAAACACGCCATCTCTCGCCCTTTGTGAACGTTGACACACGTAGGTGTTGGTGGACTACAAGGAGGGCCAGCAGTCCAAGGTGCCACACCCACAATGGCGCGTTCTCGCGTGCATATTTTCCGGCCTTTTCTCCCCCTCCCCCTCCCCTCACACACAGAAACGAGAAAAAAACGCAAACCAAACCGCTGAGGTGGACGTGTTTTTGTGGCAAATGAAGCGGTTTTCAGAGACTCTGGTCCCCCACTTAGGGTGGTTTAGATAGATTCTATGTATATGTATATAGGTGTTTGTGCCTTGAATGCCACAGCTGTGGTGTAGCCTTGATGGAGTCAAGGATCGTTCCTAAGTCAGCTCAAACTATGGATAGCGAAAGGCTACTTTGAAGAATCATATCCTAATACATGCCATGTTTGTACTGTTTGCACCTGGAGTCTCATTGTCGGACAATGGTCCATGGTCCATCTTCATCATAGCAATGTTCGTACATGGGCGCAAGTACCGTTCTTAATGGGTCCATGTTCCATTTTCTAATTGAAGTCGGGTCCGGCTACATCAGACCTTGTGCCTGCCTGACAGGTCATTTGGAATCATTTTGGGACAATGACCTCGTTCTACATCAGTTGTGGCTGAGTCAATCAGATCTTGCGAGCACACACCTCGCATCGTTCTGCCCATATGCATGCTTTTGTATGCATGTTGATGTTTTCAGCGGGAAGAGGCCATGCCGCCGTGCCAAAGAGGTCATCGAAGCCATCAACCGTATGCCCAACCACCTCACCGCGGGCATCGTCTCCAACAACCCCATTTTCATCAATGAGGCCGTTCATGCTGCACCGCCTTCGCGTGTTACTTATCGCAGCAAAGGTCAGGTTTCTGGCTGGGGTGTCATGGGTGTGGAAAATGGGGAACTCTGACCTACCCCCAACTGACCTTGGCACGTGATTGACTCCTGCCCTGGCCACTTGTCGACAGGACAATGGGGAGCGATGGGAAGCACCCATGTTCACAGAGGATACTAACAGGATCTAACAGGTGTAGGATGGTTTTAACATCGACATGGTGGTCTTCACTTGTGGCATCCCTTTCAGGTGGCGTATATGTATATATATATATGCATTCATATACTTATACACCGTACACCCAGAAGGGTACTTACCGTCCAATGACGACACATGGCAGCCAGGCGTTTCATCCGACCGATGCATGTCCGTCTCCTTCAGCATGGCAGGGGACCGATGCATGTCAGCCAGTGGATGTGGTGAGGGAAGGCAGACGCGTCTTGAGATCCGACAGGTGCTTGGCAATTCCATTACTGGTACCACTTATGCTGGCGCAACTGAGTTGCAGTGATCGGGTGCCGATGGGCGGAGTGGTGAGGTCGCAAGGTCGACCTCCAAAGGAATCACATGACCCCAAAGGTGAAGAGATTTCCACTGGATTGTAGATTGCCATGTTACATGTTGCTGAGGAGAGGGCGCCTGAGGGAGCTCATTTCCCTCTCAAGTTGCTGAAATTGGTTGAAACTAATGCGACAAAGCTGAACTCTAACAGTACCATCATATTTTTGCTGGCTGGCTCTTGCAGTAGCCTTTTCATATGCTCAATTCAACAGCAGTTCCATGATGTAAGAGTCCGGAGTTTAGCGGTGACTTTCATGGGGCACGCAGGTTGTACTCGGTCGATCAAGGACTTTCCTAGCACCTCCATCAAGAAGAAGCTACACTCCAAGTTAGTCATTGGTCCCTTGGAAGGCTGCTCTTCTCGACATTTCTCTACAGACAATGGCTTTTAGCATCTTTTAGCACTTCCATTCAACCTGACTTGACCCCATCAAACCCACCCAACTCATCCCCAAATCTACCAGTCATCTCTAGGTGTTTTACATCCGGTTTTCCCTTTGTTTTCCTCAGTTCTTCGCATTTTCACCACCTTTTTCACCTCCATGCTATCCAGGCACGGGCACGCACCACCGGTGCTCCGGTCCAGCACTGGTTTGGGCCCTCTGGGGACGTACGTGCCGGAGGCGACCAACCGGGTGGACCGCGCTGGTCGGAGTCGCGGTCGGCCAACCGGGCCGGGGTGGTTTGGTTCGTCCCAGGAGCGGTCACCATGGGTCACCCAACTCCTTCCTCCAGTCGTTCGCCGGCACCCCGAACGCTCGTCGTGACTGGTGCATGTGGTTTTCCTTGTCTCACTGTTTCTGACCACTTTCGGTACTCCATTCCCATGGGGCAAGTGGCAGTTACTGTAAGTGGCGTGACGTTGTCCGCAGTGACGTTTCCAGTTGGAGAACACATCTGCAACACCCCACGACCACCGACGCGGAGGAGATGGAAGAGTTCGGCGCAAATACGTCACCAGACAACAACAAAAAAACAACCAACACGCCACGCCCTTCAAGATCCTTCATTGGTCTGGTCACCGAACTGGCCTATACTGCCAAAGGTCTACGCCAGTGACAATGATGCAGTCTTTAGCCGTTTGTAGTGCCGTTCGTTTTAGTCATTCATGGCTGGACTCGGTGTGACACGACTAGGTGAGCACCCGTCTTTGTCTCGAGGGCCGCACTCTTCCAAGTCGGCACCAATATATAGCTGTCTACCAAAAGGACGCGGGTGTGCGCTGGGCTGGATCCTCCCTGAGGACGGGTGTGTGAATAGGATGGCATCATTTCGATCGGGTCAATTGGGCGCTGAGTCCGGACGAGGCATCCATACCAAGCACGCCATTCAGCTTTGTCGCTTGGAAGACAGCTGAAGCTGACCCATGTGGGTGACACAGGAAGAGTTCTTAATAAAACCCGCGGGAATTTTAACAAGTTGAACATGGACATTTGAAAGACTGCTTCCTCCAACAAACAGTGTTTGTTTGAGTTCCATGTCAACCTTCCAGGGTGCGACGTTTGCCCTGTGACTTCTCCGAAAGATGTTGTTGATTAAATCTAAATTAGAATGCATGACATGTGTACCCAGATGTCATTTCTTCGGAATCTTCAGAAGGCCAGCTGTGTCTCCTAGTAGCCTCAAACGGAGTGGATTCCGTTTGGGGACAGGACATGACATAAATGGAAGGGAAGGTCCCAAAGTTAAACTAGGCGGATGTTGTAGTGGCGGATGTTAATGTTCTATCAATGGGGTTTGGGAGGTTCATTATTGACCCTGGCAACGGTTTCTCAATATAGAAAGTTTCTAATCAAAATATATACTCATGATTAGGGTTTGTCCTATTACCTGTAACAGTCAGTAAACAATTATCATATATTATATCATTTTGTTTTTTTAAACCAAGGCCTTCACTAACCATCATCATCCACTGTTACAGGTAATATGATAGACCCAACTCATCATAATAATACATATATATGTATCCAAATGTATATGCAGTTTCTTACTTAACTTAGACGGCCATACATATCATACAAACAGGGTGCACTGAGGAAATCAGAGATAGATGGTTTGAAGCCTAGTCCAAGTTTGGGATTTGCGATGGCTCAGAAGAAAAGATAGAAAGCCAGCGAGCGAGACGTTTCAAAAGGAAAAAGATAATAATATACACTCCGACTCGCAAACATAGCAGCGGACAATGGGCCCCTGAGCTGCTAGATCAAGAAAGCACAAAAAAAGGGCAGCAGTGTCAGTTCCACAGGCGAACCAAACTGCTCATTGTGGTGGCCCTGCTTCCCTATATCGCTCATCCAGTGGATTCGGGCGGCCGCAAAATCGGTTTGGCCGCCGTCTTTCGGCCAGGCTGGAAATCGGCATAACTTCGCAGCGACAGCGAACTCGGCCCAACCCAACTTCAGTTCGTCTTTCCGCGACCTAAGCCTTATTTGAGATTTGAACTATTCAAATTCAAATTGATTCAACCAGATTCATCCACCGGGATAGTGCCGGATCACAGGTACCTCATCCCTTTTGACTTGCTGTATCGAGCACACCACTTGGGGCCCAAACGAATCACCTGGAAAGGTCCATCCCTAAATGGACCAACGCCAAGGCAGGCAAATATGCCTATACCCAAAGAATCCGAACGGGCTCTCCGCAGGGGGTCGGACCCGACACCGGAACGCAGGGGTGACCCGAACGAAACCCTATAGCCCTATGTGTTTGAGAGCCCGGATTCTTAGGGTAGCCCAACAAAGAACGCCCATTCTTGCTCGCACGTGCCACCCGGAATTATTTTTTCCAGGATCTGGGCACACCCATTTCAATGTGGAACATGCCCATCTCCCACCTCCCCCACTAACCACCCTTTGACCGCCCCACCATCACCGCCAGTGCCCCACCACACGCGCATCGCCCAGCCCCGCGCCGCTCCGACTCCGTCGACCGGTCACCCGAGGTTGGTCCTCGCATCGCGAAGTGATCTACGACTATGGCCCCACGAGTCAGATCCCTCCGCAGAGTTGAGCGGTGGAGAGGCAGGTGGGGAGGCAGGAGGTTGGTGGCACGAGGAACAAGTGGGGAGACCAAGTGGCTGGCGATTTTTGGGAGCATACTCAAGCTACATCAGGCTCCCATAAGCTACCATGAGCTACCACGATGTTCTAAAGAGAAGGTGAGTGGCACATAGTGGCACCATGTGAAGCACCGGGTTTGAGAGCACTTAACGATGCAAAGTAGCACTTTGTTCTATCAAGACAGGTGGTTGGGTGCATTTGGGTGCGGTTTATTTTTCAACTTAATGACTCATGACCTTTATTACAAGTCTTTGCCTGGGATATGACCATAAGGCCGCATTGGTTTCTGGTTAGGCCGCACTGCTCACATCGCCCAAGCCATGGAGGGTAATTAATTGTGTTTGGGATGAACACGGTTTGTTGAGCATGGTGTTCGAAGGGTGCCATGTTCTAAGTCTAAGTCCATTTGTGATCCATGTCGATCACATAAATGTGACTCTTTGAGGGCATTGCCTCTCATTCTTCAGAATCGTGTGCGTGTGTAGAATCCTTGTGTCAAAACAATGTGAGTATTTGCATTGACGACCAGTAGCTTCACGTTTCATGTTCATTGGTTGTTTCCCGGCCCCAGTGCTCAACGTGATAGGTGAGATGAGAGGGGAAGTCGCTCAGATGACTGGAACGAGTCTACACTGACATCCACAGATCTTGCAAAGCTCCAGCTATCTACAAACAGTATCAAACGGTATCAAACAGTCAGTGGGATTTCCTGAATTCACTGGGGATGTCTATACACGCTATACAGCCTATACACACACATATATATATATATAATACAAATGGAAGTTCAAGCGGTTCTTTCAATAAATAAGTCAATCATGCACATTGCTGCCAGCACGCCTTTTGATTGGTCCATGACAGATGGGGATCAGTCCGCAACTTTTTGCGTTCGCCGGGCCGGTCCATCACAAAGAATGGACAGGGACGGCTGCAAGTTCTGCCGCACGAACAAGTTCTTTGCCTTGGGAGGATGGGTATGTGCAGAGCAAGTGAAATGACGTGAATTCTTTATATCAGTCAAGAACAATTCCTCATACTTCCTCAGGAAACTAGTCTTCCCAGGGGCCTAAGGTTCCACTTCGACAGGGGTACATATATATATATATATAATATACGATTTTTGTTGGCCAGGGATTGCACCATCTATCCTAAAACCACTGTAACCTTCTGAAAGCAAGCTTTTTCGCCTGTTTCGCCCTCCGTTGGCGATGGATTTGTTCGAACGGGTGCTGTGCACAGTCGTTTGTCAGCAAACAAAGGTGCACCAGTTGCAGTTGGACATTGTGAAGCATTTGGGAGGGCCATATCTCATAGCCATTTGTTAGGAAGACTTTCTTTGTTAGTGCAGCCTAGTCAAGCCATTTGAGTGTCATGATGTCCTAGTCAAGCCTATATGTTAGGCTAAGACTTGATTTCACAACAGGAACTTCAACTGGAGAGCACCGCAATACACTGCACAATAGAAAGCTCTCGCTCTCGCTCCCGCACGGCGCGGGCGCAAGGATCGCCGGAGTGAGTCGCAAACATGCGGAAGAACGGGTTGAGGTCCCATGGGATGGGATGGATGGTTTGACAGGATATGGGCCTACCATTGAGCCAGTGATGTTTTGGCAGGCTGACTTGGATAGAACAATCAGGTCCAGGACAGATGGTTACTCGAAGACCATCAGGTCCAGGAAAGCTGACCTGTCCACTTATGCTTAGGGTATTGGGCATCGCTACTATAGTAACAAGGGCATTACTAGTAGCAAGAAGCTACTAGTAACATGGGCATCGCTACTAGTAGCTTCTTGTTACTAGTAGCGATGCCCTTGTTACTCGTAGCGATGCACCCGTTCCACGTATTTGTGGATGTCTTATGCCATGTCCGCGGCCCTTTTCAAAGTCCGCCATCGAGCTGCTCCAAAACCGTGATGCTGAGCCACCGAGCTGCTTGCACAGAGAGTATACGGGGACAAAGACGGGCTGGTCATCTCGCAGGGCTGGTGGAGATCTTTCTTCAGCATCCGAACGAAAGATCTACTTGAGTTTTGATATTACTATAACCCGGACACTCCATAGGACTGCCATAGCTTACATTGACCCCTAAAACCACCCCAACTGATCGGCAGTCCCATGGCAGTCCCATGGGTCGTGACCTGGGTTATGATATTTATGTTGTTTGATTTCGGATACGCATCTCCCAAGGCAGGGCTGTCGGATTGTGCCTCCGGATAGCCATGGAAAACATGGATAGCTTTCAACTCCTTCCTTTATTAGATGGGCCAAGTGTGGGTGTCGGATTCGACTGTGACTCACACACAGCATTGACTATATCCCTGGCTTGAGTTTCGGGACACTGGGTGCAGGAGCCCCGAGAAACAGGGCCAGTGGGCGTGGTTCGGCAATTTCTCCGTTCGTCTCCGCTTTCAGAATTCCATATTGCCTTATAACTTATAACTATAATGGAGTAATTGCCCTGCATTGTAAGTTATATAGTTAGCTACGTTATATAGTTAGTTTTCAAAATTCCACTTCAATATGGTCTATCCTGTCACTCTTATTAGTAGGTATATACCTCTTGGACCTTGATGTGAGCAGACCCTGAGATGGGGGGCCAAGAAGAACATATTACCAGCAGTCACATGTCGGGGTGCCGAACTTGGAGGAGAGGGGTGCGCAGCTACTCCACTCACTGGATGGGACTAAAAGCCACCCCGACATGTGACTCCTGGTAGATGTTTCCCAGATTCCAGTGACATCAGGATGCCTTTTCAAAGGAAATTAGGACACGCTTCTTTTCGCCCGAATCAGTCGACACGACATGTTTCAATATGTGTCCGAACGCGCCTGTGTCACAATTTAGCAGAATTGACATTATTCCAACATGTTCTTGGAGCCCCCATCCCGTCGCTGGCGAGTTGTGACATAACGCTTAACATGTTCACGTGCTCTGAGGACAAGGAGTTCTACCTTGCTCAGTTGGCCGCGTTGGCCGAACGCTATGACGCGCCTTGGTGTTTGTATGTGTTTGTGCAACCTGGTTGTTGACTAGCTGTACCCACAGAATAAAGCTGATGAATAAAAAGACAAAACGTACACAGACAATCACAGACATCAACGTAGTTGCATGTTGTGATTTGCTCGCCCCGTGTTTTGTCGACCTCAACTTTTCAAAATTGGGACAATGCTTGCGCCCCCAACGAAAAAACGGTTGAATCGTTCACCAAAGAAAACACGCAACGAACCTGCAAGGAAACACGTGAAGTGACCGCGAACGAGGGACGTTCTTGCGACCGCGAACGGTACCAGCTTGAAGTGATATATTTGACATCCTCTCTCCAACAATCATGGAAGTGGACACTTGCCACTGGAATGACTATTCTCCTCTACAAGCAGGGAGTTGTCCACTTCCATGTTTGTTGCGGGGAGGGTAGTCGGTTCCGAAGCTCCTTTTTCAGGTGAACGTCCTGGGTGAAAGAGGGTGAAGTGAAGCACGCGCCTCGCTTCGCGCCTATAAGCGCCTCGTGCTCACGCCTCGCTTGTCCTCAGGCGTTCGTAGATAGATCCTGAGTCCTTTTGGTTTAGACAGGATTTTCCTACTAAACCGTTAAGTTAAAGGTTAAACCCTTAGCAAAGGACCTATGGACAGCCTTATAAAGCTGAGCTCACATGCATGTGCTCCCGCCCGTACGCCCAGACTGGCAGTCAAGACCCCCAAATCAGGGGGACTAATGTGAAGAAGAAGCTCCGGCAGAAGACTGACTCAGGGGTGATAGGGGTGATAGGGGGTAAACATGAGTAAACAAACACTCTTCAGTTTTTCTTTTTGTTTGGGGGGTGGGTGACTGCTTCCTGCACTTCCTGCACTTGCTATGCCCGCCGGCCCCGCCGGTCCGTGTTCTCGTGCACGAAGAAACTCAGGAGGTCGTGGAACACATGAAGCAAGTGATCAAGACGAATCCCCAACTCTCCGTGGAGGAGAGGAACTTACTCTCTGTGGCCTACAAGAACAAGGCGAGAGAGAAAGCCGAACTCTCTGGGTGTGCGAAGTCTCCCCTCTTCAGAACACCCGAGGGCAGCTGTTTTGAATCAGTGCCCGATGGAGATGAGTGGTGTGTTCGGACCACACATCGGAAGGTTGGGAATTGTTGGACCATCCATGTATGGGGGCCACCCCCTCCTGGTGGCCACAATGTCACCAAGTCAAAGTTCCAGGGTTTCATGTCCTCCAAATCCTGCATGCAGCTTTCACAGATTTTGTTTAAAGGGTGTTCTTCCACACGCAAAATGGAAAGAGCTTCCCGATGAAATTGCAGGGAAACGACTCCTGAACATCCCGCGAACCCATCTAATTCGCAGGGTCCCGGGTGCCCTGCCGATCTCCTCACGACTTGGGAACGAACGAGGGAGCTCTTTGGAACGACCCATTCATTCGTGGACCACTTAGGTTCTTGAAACGTCCATTGATGTTACTGTAGACTCTCAACCACACCTTTCTTCCAGGCCAGGGGGTCTATTTCCATCTATGTCCATGAATGCCATCGATTTATATACCTTCAAAACATCGGACTCGGACGTTCCACTTTCGTTCGGACGTTCCACCACTTGCCGCCACTTCTTTTCGCGTTCGCCACCGGGTTCGCCAGGTGGGCCGTTTGCGTGGCGCTTGGCGCTCGACCTGCGCGGTCGCGAAGACGGCCTTGCCCACCGAGGCCGGGGACCGCGCCGTCGCCGAGGTGAAGACGAGCGTCATCGGAACGATCGGCGGTCAACACGGACATGTTCCCAGAGACTCCATGGGACTGCCATATATGCCGCCCCAAGTATGCCTAATCCCGAGTACCTATGAAAAACGGACCCCTGTTAGAAAAAAGTCATGTCGGAAACCCCTAAATACGGTTTATATTTGTTTTTAAATTACCGCCCTTTCAAGCCGCTACTAAACTACCAACATTGCCGACTTTGGAGGAGTTTTTTTTAATTAGGTTCCAAAAACAACCGTAACTGCCCACCTTTGTCCGCCCTGGCCCTGTCTATCCACCATGACACGCCGCGCTTACACCAGCAGGCTTTCCTTCCCCCAATGGCACGGACTCACGCAAACGCACTTGCCACCGAGGTCATGCAACACCGCATGGCACAGCGACATCACCTTTCGAAAGCTTTAGCTGTTAGTCTACTGAAGAATCACTATTCTAATGAAGGTTTTTGTATAGGGGAAAAGAAAAGACCCTTCGATCTGGAGCTTTTTTGCATTTTTGACACGAGTTTAATAAAGGATTTTATATAAAATTTTACTGACTTACTTTTTGGTTTTGAAGCTCTTCCCAGGTGACCTATTTTGACCCCCCGATTTCAGGGACCCCCTATTAGAAAAAATGCGACCGCGGTTTCCTTATTAGGGGGGGGGGGCCGTGTTTTTTGATAGGTGGACCGGATTTCATTAACCCCTCAAACCACCCCAACTGATCGGCATATATGGCAGTCCCATGGAGTGTCTCATTCTTTTTTGCTTCTCCATTCGTTGGTGTTAGCTTGTTGCTCGCTTGCGGGATTGCAATTGGCCTCGGCCTTTTTTTGGTGGGATTTGGTGGTGAGGTTGGCAGCCGGCGCTATTCCCCCCCAAAGTCACAGGCGAATGGCTCAATTCCCAAAGGGTTCAGCTTAGGGGCTTTGCCATTCGAATGGTGGGATTCGGGTAGAGCTGGGTGAGCCACTTGGCTTTGCCACCGATCTCGATCCCTCCCTGGAATTTGGCTGTCAAGCCAAGTCAGTCCTGGAAATATCCCAGACGCCCCACGGGACTGCCATCTATGCCTACATTGGAGTGGTTTTGGGGGTCAATGTAGGCATATATGGCATACATGGAGTGTCTGGTAATATGATCTTTTCAACTGATTCCCATTAGCGTTGCAGGCCTGTGGTTGCGCAAGGAATTGTATAGGTGTGTGACGTCCACAAGTTCAGGCATGATCGTGGTCACATGACGATTCCCATTGTTTCCCGGGGGACATATCTTGAATCATTCCCAGACACTCCATGTATGCCATATATGCCTACATTGGGTGGTTTGAGGGGTCAATGGGGCGGCATATATGGCAGTCCCACGGAGTATCTGGGATTTTTGAGGGGGGTGGCAGACTGTTGCTGACATACTGGTGGTAGGGTTTGGTACACCCTGCACACCGCCATGAGGCCCAATACGCCGAGGAGTACAAAAAGAAGGCGCCGGAGCGAGCTTGCTCGGGTGTGACTGCCCCGGCGCAAGAACACCGTCGGTCGCCCGCGCTGGCGAACCGCCCCAGACGACTGTAGGGGCGGCTCCTTGGATCACCAAAGGCACAATCCCCAAGTCCATCTAGGGCTCCGAACGGCCCATCTCCGACCCGATGACCGGTGGCGTCCGACTCCCAGGCCTCCACCCCACCTCGTCCCATCGAAGCGAAACGGAGGCAGGCCAGGAGCCCTGGGGTTTGTTGTTACTTCATGCTGCCCAGCCGGTGCCCAGCTGGTCGACTCGTCCGGCGGCTTCGACTCACGGGCAGAGCAGCTGGGTTCGATCAAACACGTTGGGTTTGGTAGAGAAGATGGCACAAACAGCTGTTGGCTCGTCTACTCTCAAACAGCAGCACGTTTGTCGAAAGAAAAGCTGTCCACTGAGGTGTCTTCGTCACATTTCATCCCCAGATCACTGGTGATGATTCCCCAGATCACTGGTCATGATAGCACCACCCTTCATGGCCCATTTTTGAGTTCGGCATGCGCAGCGCAGTGCGCAGTGCAGCGCGGTGTGTTCTGCGGCCGTTCATGCCCGTTTGGGATGTGTTGGGATCCTTGTTCCTTCCATCGCACCGAAGGCTGAAGAGGAAGGGATCCAGTCCTGCGAGACTTGGCTTTTTCGCCAGCTTGGCTCCGCGTTGCCGGCCGCTGTAGCATGGCTTTGTTTGGGGAGCAACCTGTTGGACTAAACTGAGGTAACGACATACCTTTAACATCCTGTAACTACCTGAATCGCCAACTATTGAGCCTATATGCCAACTATTGAGATATATGATATGTTCAATAATCCTTGATCTCTACATTTGCAGAACATGACCAACGGCGGGTATGGAGATTGCATTTTGGTAGTTAAGGCTTGGTTGGTGGACTCCTGCACAAGGAATTAGTGTCAGAGATAAATGTTTGAGCATCATTCTTAGTCTTAGCCGAGATTCGTTTGGACGCATTCCAAACTCTTTCTCCATGGTAAACTGTGTTGGTGATGGATTCCCAAGTTGCATGGCCCACCGGATGAAGTCAGCCAAGGAGGAAATGATTACCTTGCTGGAAGATCAGTTGCTGCCCCACACGGTGGAGCCCGAGTCAAAGGTCTTTTTCCTCAAGATGCGTGGTGAGCCTTGGCACCATTACCAACTGTTAGGAATGAAACGTCCACCCGCGCTGGACGTCGCCCTCAACATCCTCAACATGTCGAATTGATCAGTGGGAGTTGTTGCTGATCGTTTGTTTTCTCTGTGGTGAACCCTCCTTTCAGGAATTACTTTACTTTTTCAGGTTTGCATCAAGCAAATCCATGCTTGAAGTCCATCCATCGGGGTGTTTCACATGCCCCGGCACGGAACTGATCCCCGTTGTCCTGATCGATCCCCGATCTCCTTTGAGGACTATTACCGTTATCTCGCAGAGCTTAGAGGTGAAAGCAACCAGGCAACTGCAGAGCTGGCCCGAAAGGCCAATGAAGAAGCATGGGATGCTGGGCGCGGAGGAACCAAAGTCCGTTTTTCTGGGGATGGGCAGGTGCTGCCACCTGGGGCACATGGGGACACCTATTCCTGTACAAAGTCAAGAAAGATGTTTGTTAGGGATATGGACGACATTAGTGGTCCAGGACGTGAATTGACGTTGTTGTTGTTTTTTGGAGGGTTGTGTGATACCAAAAATGGTGGTTTTTAGAGACTTAAGAGTGGCAGGTGGTGACCTGTTGGAGGGTGCTGGTATAGTCAGGCTTTCCAATCTTTTGCAACCAGATAGTCCCCAAAGGACCCTCTAGCATATGCTACATATCCTATTCCATCATGCTTCCGTGCGAGTTCACAGGTATTGGAAAGCTGCGACCTACAATCGGCAAAAACCGTAGGTGCTGAGGGGCCCAACGCAGGAGCAGAGTTTCTATGGGACACCAATCCAGTGGACAGTGAAGATGTGTTTATCGAGTCCTTTGTTGGGAACTGGCTCATGGATGTGGTAGTGACCTGAGTCAAACCCCCGAAGAATGTCGCAACAACAATCAACAGCATCCCGATGTCGGTTCCTGGATTTGCGAAAGCTCCCCCGTTCAACAGATTCTTTGTATATACCTAGTCATCTCAATTGTGTGTGTGTGTGATTTCCCTGAGTCTCGTTTACCATATTTTTTCAGATTGGGGGTTGTGTTTTGGATTGGGTCCCGACCACCTTTGGGGGATTGTGCCATCTACACTCAATCCACCGTGACTACTTCATGCTTGATTGAACTCAGAGATTGAGCAGCTGAGGAATCTGTGCAGGAGCGATCTCCCATGATTGGAGTGATCTCCAAAATGTCTTCGCAAATGCCTTTGGATCGTCAGAAGATTTACTGTAGATTAAAGCTGATGGCAAATAGGAAGAAGCCTTTCCATCAAGATCCTCAGCGACTCTCCATTCTTAAGTTCTATGTTGGACCTAAAGCGCTACTTTTAAGATCATTTAAGACTTTCCCTGTCCATCCAGCAAGCTACCAATAAACACACATTGATTCCTTTTGTGGCATACATCCGATGGTTGACTGGAAAGAGATGAGGTTAATTCACAGGCCCCTAGAACAAATACAGTACTACTGTACGGGTGACTCAACAGTAATTCTTTTTAGGCACCACTTAATACTGAAAAGATGATGTTGCCATCATCCGTTGAAATTGTCCGCATGCATCCGCTGCATCATATCAAGATCACAGCCACACACACAAAAAAAATAACAACTGCTTTTGCAGGAGCAGTTGCCAGCGGTGCACCCCATTCGCCTGGGTTTGATGCTGAGCCGAGCTGTTTTCAGCTACGAGATCTTGCAGCAGAAGGAAGAGGCGTGCCAGATCGCACGCCAGGCGGGATGTGGTGAACGAAGGGTCGAGTCGGGTCGAGGACGAAGGTCGAAACGCCCAGCCGGGAGGATGGCAGGGCTAGGAGCTCTAGGAGTGTGAAAAGGAAATGAATGAGTGAGCATCCAAGCAAGATGTTTTAATGGGATGTTCCCCTAGGAAGCTGTTGACCCAAATGCGTCTAAATACCTGGTCATTCAGTCAGTGATCCTTTTTGTTGTTTTCTTCCGACAGTGGATTTCAGCCGGGCGACATTTTGAGGCCTTTGAAGCAGGGCTGGAAGAACTGGTGTCTTGGAAGAAGCCAGGCCCATGGCACTCCGGATTGGTACACGGACCCCTTTTTCCAACCAACCCAATGTACTTATATAATCTTATATAGATCTAATTCCAATGGAGTGTTCGGGAGGTGGACCCCCCTGCAAGAAGACCAATTTTCATCCTTGGACGTGAAGAGCTAATGAGAGGTCCACTGGGACGCGACAAAACGCGTCCAGGTGGGTCACGGCGAACACCAACCGGTCTGAACAGAACACACTGCAGCTGGTGGGTCCGGTGGAGTGCTGGTCATGGTGGGTCTGCACAGCTTGTGCGAAGGAGATGTAAAAAAAATCCTTTGGACAAGCTGTTCCATACAGTATGGTATCCCTGTGCGAATTTCCTCTAAAGAATAGGACAACCCGGGTTCGAGGTCGAATTCGATGGGGGATCAGTATGGTCGTGTTTTTGTGGTGTGAGCTGCGCCCACTGGCACCAACCGGTCCGGGCCCACTTGGCATACTCTTCCAGTGGTGGCTAAAAAGCGCCTGTTCTGTTTCTTTAAGGGTGGGGAAGGGAAACCCACTGCCACGTGGCAGGCGGGTCCTAGTTTGGGTTGGAACGCTGAGGCTCGGAGGTCTTTTTGCCGAGCAATGGAGTAGGGTGCACTCTTTGAAGTGCCGGTGGAGCAATTGAATTACCCAATCTTCCACAGCAGTACTAGTGGTTGCATTGGTTTGAGGGAGGGTGCATTTGGACAGCTTACCTGATGGTAAATAACAGGCACGTACTCTGACCTAATGTGGTTATTATGCAATGTCTTTTTTTCAGTGTATCATATGTATAATACAGTACATTAGACATCATTAGACAATATATATATATATATAAGATAAAGCACTGGATTTGTGGAAAGACCTCGGCGAGGTCAGGAATGCGAGGTCGGATGAAAGCAAGGGAAATCCTCGCGACGGAGTCTCGCTGCTCCTCGCCTGTCACGGTAAACACCTGAAACAAGAAGCTCATGATGTTTGTTGTCGTTTGCATCCCGTCGTGCAGTGCTTTTTCTCGCTCACTCGTCGATCAGCAAAGAATACCTTTCAATATCTTTCAATTGTTTAAGGGAGACTTCTTCGACACGATCGCAAAGTCACAGTGCTTTTTGGATGGTATACCTTTTGCCATTCCCAGCACCATTTTTTAGGCCACGCCTGGCACGCCGGGTGGTGAGTTTCCGTTTCATTCCACGGCTGAAACAGAGAGTACTCGCCGGGCGCTGAGGATGCGATTCCAGAGGAGCACTACAAGGATTCCACTCAGATTCTGCAAATGTGGCTTAGCTGACAATCATTGCTAACGGTGTCCAACACAACTTTTTTGAGAGCAGAACCGTTTTGGCCCCAAAGACAGGGTGCCGATATCATGGCTCATGTTTGTAAGATGTTCCAAACATGTTGAATAGATGGCCCCGACAAACATGCATGTGCATAGAGACACCACAATATATTGATATGTACCTGGGATTGTTTGGTGCAAATTCCTAGCTCACGGCAGTGGAAGGCTGAACATGACAAATCAGCGGTTTCAGAATAGATGGCACAAGACCCCAAATTCGGTGGTTTACATAGACCAAGGCTCCTTGGCGTGCCAGTGCCATTGTCTCATCTCTGAAACTCCTTTCCATCCTGGACTCCAGGATGTTCCCATCACAAAGCTGTTCCCCGTGCTTTGACTTGACTCGTCTCGAGCCCCGACTCCATTCCGCCACGTACCGACCGACCTGCGTGAACTGCCGGCGTCGCGGCAGCTTCATCGGCCCGAGGCTCCGGGACCATTTGACGCAGTGGGCGAGCATCGAGGTGCGATAGATGTGAGGCACGAAAGGCCCACAGTGTTTCGGGTATGTCCCTGGTAGCAGTCAGCAAATGGTATAATAATACAAGATGCGGAAGTCATGCTGGTTTTTTTGGTTCGTGGTCTTCTAGATGCGGAAGTCATACTGTAGTCCGATCAAGACAGCGCAACCGTTCAACCGGTCCACTACGGGGTCCGAAGCTGGCGCCATGTTGATACTATGGATTGGGCAGCGAAGATGATCCAGGTCTATATGGGTTGTTTTACACAGAAAGACTGAAAAGAGGGCGGTGATGTCGAACCTATTAGTTCTTACCCTAGGGATCCTCCAAACCTCGCATTTGGGCCCTCCTGGCACCGACAGAAAGAGTGTCTCCGTCGTCACCGTACCTGAGAAGGTATGTGGATCCGGGATACTTCACCTTGATGGCAAAGGGCCCAATACATGGGTGTTGCTACAACGGGGGCCATGACTTGTTTGGCCGGTGACCAGTCAGCCAGACTTGTAAGTTGGCCAACTAGGTTCCTGAAAAACCATGAGGGGGCCATGTTCGCCACCCCTTGCAAAGGTATCATCCCTTTCCACCTAACAAGGGGCCAAATCGGGCCAGCAAAATGAGGATCGTTTTTCCCAAGGACTGCGGGGCTGCAGGCTGCAGGTGTACATTTTAGCTTGGGGTTGATCAGCGGCAATCCAGGCCTACTGTGCAAAACCATCAATGGGCTTGGGAAGCCCACTGCCATGGGATGTAACAATGGATCACTTGAAGACGTTCTTTCCCTTGCAAAGGGAAATGCAAGTGAGTGGGGATCAAGCAGACCTTGTTGTTAAATTGCTCGTTGATCAGCCGCCGCAACTGCGTCCCACATTTTTAATGCAGCCTCGGGAGATGCCAAGTCTTGCCCCATGTGGGTCGTGGCCACACAGCAGCCGTCCACTCCGATGGTGTCCCGAGCGTCGGTTTCGCCCGATCTTTGTTGGATCCTAAACACTACACCTCCAGTCGTGCCTCCTGAGGCAGGTATTGGGACCCTCCTGGCACCCACCCCAGTCCCACCTTCTCAGAAGGTACTTGGAGGCCTAGGGACAGTGCACTGGCGACATCGGGCGCTTCAGCGCCGAAGGTCAACGCGGCCTGACCACCCTTCCGTCTCGTCGTGTGACAGCGCTGTCGCTCACGTAAGACGACCCATCCAAGCCTGTTGGGGTGAGCAAGTGGGATTAAGATGGATTACCAGCAGAGGTTGAAGAACCCTATAGGCTATCCTATAGGTGCTTCTGTAGGGTCCTATAAGGTCACTTGACCTCTGTTGGTAAGTGTCCCTTCTACTCACTGGTGGCCACGAGGAAGGGTGCGACGCGTTTCGGCGGGTGGACCCTGAGGAATCTGGGCACGACTAGGTCATGGTCTCATTCCCTTGGTCTCTCGCACCAGTCAGTCGAGTTCAAGAGACTTAGTAGCCACCCCGCAGCAAAACCACCTTCTCGGCACTCAATGGAAGGCAACGCAAGGCTCCCAGAATTCTCCAGACCCATTTTAGAGTGGAATATGATCTTAAGATATCTTAAGTTCAATCGGGCTGTGAGCCACTTGGGGGGCAAGAGCATTGGCGTGTCCGTTGCCAGAGAACCGCGTGATGCCGGAGGGTTCAACACCTACGGCATTGTAGGACAGTGAGTCACTTACCTGTTTGGCTTCCAAGTACCTTCTGAGAAGTCTGAGAAGGTGTTTGGGGTGGGTTTGGAAGGTCCAAACCCCTGCTGAGGAGGTACGACTGGAGCCCTAAATTTACCTGGTGTTGCCTAATTTTGATGTTCCCACTGGGTGAAGTGTGAAGTCCTTTCCACGGAAGACTTTTGATTTTTCCGGGTTCCTCAACTCTAGTCGCGGGCATGAGCCTATGGTGCAGAAGAGTCGGTTCCTGGACAAGAACTGTCCCAGTGTGTCCTGGATCGTGTGAACCTCCCGCGTCTTCGCGGATGCTCTTGGCGCTTCTCGGCACTGCAGCACTGCGTGCGGCAACCGCTGCAAGGCTCGTTCGTCTTCCACATCTGTCTCTGCCTGGTTTTACGGTGGCCAAGCTCGTCCCCAAATCTGATTCCTCCCCAGTTACCTGCCATCCTCAAAAAGTTTTGACATGACTTTGGGGACCTGGAAATGAACATCAAGAACATGGGATGAATGCAGAGAGAATGGTGTTGTCCAGTCTTTGGTTCATGAGTGAAGTTATGGTTCATCCAAACCTCCACCACTCAACCGTTGTGGGCAGATGTCTACTGGGAGGATTAAGATAGGTCAACAGGCCCCAGAGGGTTCCCTGAGTGCCGGTGAGAAGTCAACTTCTGCTTGGTGTTCCTTTTGAGACGCAGACTTGGATGTCAATTCGGCATGTGGAAGCTCTCTTTGAGAAGGGCTTCAAGCCATCATCAACTTCCCCTGCTCCCCTTTCGGGAGAACTCGGGTGCGGACCGTGACACTGCCATGCAGGGAACGCAGAGATTGGCGTGGCTTTGATTGGCTTTGCATAGATTGTCATGGTTCAGGTCTAGAATAACCACCACCCCTATATACCCCATCCACAGTTTCTAGAACATTGCTTTCTGCATTTTCTCGACCCGACTGTGACTATCCCAGAACTGGAAAACCACGAAGGTCACGGTTTTTGCGCAACCAGTTTGGTGCATTTTTGAACCACCAAAACAAACACGGGAATCAAGTTGCATGCTGAAATGCACACTGTTGTCAGAGTTTGCCCAAAGGTCCATATTGTCCATATTCTATATTCAATACATTCTATAGATATCTATATAGATTGCATATATCTTCTGTAATTACGGTTCTATACAATTTGATGTATTTGTATATATATATATATATTGTATATATTATGTTATATTATATAATATATGCGTGTCCGTGATTTGGGGCACCATCACGAGAGCCGCTTCGGAGGCATTCAGGAACCGCGGTGCGGAGGATTTGTCAAAAGATCTCAAGTGGGGGAATTGGTACAATTTGAGAAACGTGACAAGTACAGCAGACAGTTGAGAACTTCGGTGAGTTCTGGTTCCACCAAGTCGATTTGTTCCATGGGCAGCACCCCTTTTTGGTCGACTGCATTCCTCCAGTCGACTGCTGAACTCTTCCATGCTGGCGGTGCCTACCTCCCCGTGCCTACCTCCCGGACGTACGCCCCGGCCCCCAACGGATCGAAAAAGCGGCGGAACGACCGAGCGCGTTCAGCGGAAGGCGGAACGTTCTGCAGCGTGAGGATTTGAGGTTATGGGGGTCTTTCTCTATACTATAGATGTACCTCAGTACCTGTGATTCAAGTTTGGTAGTTACACTGTGATTCATTCAACAGGATTCCAGTGATGGTTTTTCAGATGTACCTGGAGAAAATGTACCTGGAGATACCTGGAGGAGTTTGTTCTTTTTTCACTCCAGGGTGTCCCAGGCAGAGACGATGCTGGTCACACGATGCTGGTCTCTCCAGAAAAGCGACCCATGCCACACGGATCGCTCCGATCGGGTCGCCGGAGCGGGGAGGGCTCCCTTCCGGAAAGCACCAGTCATAGTCATAGTCATAGTCATAGTCCTGTTTGGGATGGCTTTGGGAACTGTTTTTGGGATGGGTTCCCTAGCCACTAAAGGGCTAGCGGCTAGACCAAAAATATTAGGAGAGACCCAAGGATCATAATCTAGCCTTGAGTCTATCTCTACCGTTCAGCCTTTGTTTGGGAGTTCCCGTTCGCCACAGAGGGCCACACCCAAGCGTACAGTGCACGGAGCGACACGGACGCTTTTTTCGCGACCACGGAGCGAGACCGGGATCTCCGATGGTTTTGAGTGTTTTGCTGTATGGTATGTGTAAGTGTCACTAACTATACCATATGTTCTTGCATCTCCTATTAGTCAGAAACTGAATTGAATTTGCTGCGGGTCCATATTGTTTTGCATGGGGTCAGAAAAGAAAAGGTTTCGTAAAAAGAACAACTCTTGACCAGCACTCTCCAAGACCAGTGTTTCCCTGTAGTTCAAGTTTCCAAGTTCGGTGCCCAGAAAGCACCAGTTTTTTGAGAACTCCAAGGTCGTTGGTCCACGAGGTATCAATGGTCCCCAAAAAGGGATCCAACCACCTCCTGACAAGGTGGTTGGGGTAGGCTTTTGGGGTGTAACTACCTTTTCAGGATGTGGTTGGAGCTAACCCATGATCATTGATTGTGATAGTTTGGTCTTTGATTGTGATAGTTTCATTTTTTCTTGTTATGAGTCTTAAACCACATATCTGTAACTTATGGTGGAGTTCCTGAACACCCTGAGTTGCTTCATGATGGTGTTTCTTTGCAGCAATGTAAATTTGAGGTGTCAAGCCAAAACAGGGGGGTGGGTGGGTCGTGCTACTTAAAGCCTGACACTAGGCAAATTGGACCAAGTCATCAGTCAGAGAGTTTGGCATATATTTTTTACTGATCTAGGTTGTCTGATCTAGGTTGTAGCAACTTCTTTGTGAGCAAACAAAATGTAGACATTGTAAATTAGGTTAAATGTAGTTTGGCATTTTACATCCATTATCTTGCTTTGTGTGAGTTTCTTTGAGTAAAATGTATTGATATGTTTGATTTGGAAAGTAAACAGAAGCAGTTTTGAGATGCACCTGTCTGTCAGGCCCTGTCAGGAATGAAGCAGTACTAAGGCCACTAAGGAACTAGACATCTTCAACTTCAAGAAGGCAATGTTTTTTAACTTTCCACCGAATAGGTGGATAGCACCGAACAGGTGCTTCTTTTTTTTTGGGGGGGGGAGGGGCAACACCAGTGGAGCACTTAGTTTCAGTCCTTGCACATACGCAGGACTCATACTTCCAGGCTGGATAAATATTATCTATAGCCAAGGTCTTTGGGAATATCCAGGACTTTGGAGTTTCTTTGAACATACCATCAAAAAACTACTGTTCAGTTCAACAATATATAATATATTATAAAAAACAAGTGCCAGCTCTGGATATATATACTTTCTTTTCTTGAGTTGCATTGCAACCACTCACACTTCTCAGAGTCAA